CTTTCCTCATCCAAATTACTCATCCCCTTACAGGTAGGAAATGTGGATTATTCACTGTTTATCTGTATATTGCCTGAGTTTTTCCATTCTACCGTGTGTACGTGGGTACCATGCTTATGTATTTTTTTCTATACAGCACTAAGCAACATAATGGGACATGCAATGAAACAATAAGGCGTTTAGAATGAGAAGGAGGGCGAGGAGGTTTGAATTTTGGATATTTGATGAATCTGGAATAAGTATTCTGACCAAGTACTGTCTGATGCCAAATGACAGTTCTAGCTTTGTGGGTTTGTTTGCTTTCTAAGAGATATTTGCCTCTATGAAATCGACTTATTTTAAATAAAGATGTCCTTTTAGTCAGTAAGGGGAGAAAAAAGTTACACGTGTCTCTACCTTGGTGCTCCCTGTGTGGAAAAACTCTGATGTGAACATATCACATCCATTTTCTGGAACTCAAGGATAATTGTTAGTTTGCTGTTTCTAATTTTCAGTTGCCTGGAAGCTATCTTATAATGAGTAAACTTTAACAGGAGTTTCTGGGATTATTTTCTTCTATCAGACTGTGGATAGTCCCTGAAGGGAACAATGACCATCTCTGGAATGCAGATACGCCCATTTAAACTCTCAGCAGACATAACTAATACAAGTGACTGAGATAACTGGTGCGGATCACAAACTGTTACAAAGCTTTAAAAGCATCAACCAAGGGCTCACCACATTCTGCTTCTTCTGGAGCATCTCCAAGTGCTCCACGAGACCCTCATCAGCCACGTCAAATGGTGTCTGGCCCTGGAGAGAAAAGGGTAGCATGACCAATAGAAAACCGAAGTAGTGCCCACGTGACTTCAGCAGCGAACTAGTCAATATTCACTTTATGCCTCTGCTCCAGTGACAGCGGCTTCCCTGGTTAAGCTACTCTGCATTTGATAATGTCTTCATCTAGAGGAGACACAAGAAGAAAGAGCAAATCCCTTAAATATAGTTTTGTGTTTCGTAAATCATTATTGAGGAAATCACCACCTCATTTCCAATGAGTATTGCCTCTTGGCAAATAATCAATTGAACTCTCTACTTGTAGCTGTTCAAAAATGGTCTTGATTGCTCTGATAAATTCAGTAAGAGGCTCTTAAAAGCCTTAGGAGGAGGTCCAGGGCACAAGTGCATTACGGTTAAGTCACATCATTTCCCTTTAAGTGACAGAAAGATTCTTTCTTTTAGGAAACATCAGCACAGTTAAGGACCATAACCCATAATCTGAGAATGAACCCTGGGTTCAGGAGAGATGCGAGGCTGATAAGGACAAATTAAAAAGCCATGTCTCCGCATTCCTAGAAAATTAGTTGAGACTTAATTCCTAGAAAATTAGCTTAGACAGTAGCCTGAACTTCCCCAGTATTCATTTTTGCCAAGGGAAAATACCCTTCCATTTGTTCATTTTAGGGTCTTCAACAGAAAGAGAAGGCTAGGTCAGTGTAGTTTTGTTACAATAGCAAAAAATCTGTGTTGGTAATGGGGCGGGGAGAGATGAGAGGGTATGGAGAGCAGAGCCATAGTTACCACTGATGCATATTTCCCTGCCCAGTAAGCCTGACCATTTAACAGAGTCTTTAAGCCTTGTTCTAGACAGCCAGCCACCAATCTCATTGCCTTTTACAGGGTCAGGCTTACTAACCAGTTTGTTCCTGACATCCATGTCACAGAGTGCTTCCGCCAGGATGGAGCAAGCCTCCTTCACTCCCCAGTGTGCAGCTGCATGGAGGGGAGTCCAGCCATCATGATCCTGCACATTGAGTTCATAGCCAGCCTGAATTAGCAGCCTAAGAAAAAAAACCCGAACAAGACATTTATATCCTCTATATTACAGCTTTCTGCCAGACAAACCATTACCTAATTGTTATATTAGATTTTGGCACAAGCACCAGGGTCCTGTGATTACTTCTACCCTCTACAGCACAACTCAGGTTCATGGTTAGCTCACTGAGAGCCAGTCATAGATCATACTCATCAACCCTCTCTGAAAAATCCTAAGGCTTCCTAGGTACATCCATGTTATATCCTACAAGAGACGTGCCTGAGATTAACCAAAGACTAATTCAATCAGCTGAGCCATTTTGGCTCTACATCCAGGTGGTTTCCATTTCCGAGTGCAGAGAGGAAGCATATTAAATTAGAACTTAACTCTCTTCAGGGTGCTTTCCTTACTAGCTTTTTAGTTGGTCTTTTTCAGGACATCAACTTTACTTGGACTCTCATACCTGCAATTCTGCAGAAGTATCTGCAGGGCCTTCCTGCTAACTATAAAGCAATAAGTGAACTGCGTGCATGGAGAGGGGAGGACATGACTCCTGAGGCCCAAAGCACACTGTGCTGACGGAGGCCACCTGTATTCATGAGCCTCCGACACCTTCCAAGAAGTGAGCAGTGTGTGAATGTCACTCTCAGGCAGAAGTGGTATACCAGCACACTGCCACACCTACCGGAGACCCCTGATTAGGTGGAATATGAAACAGTGAAAGAGTCTGGCAACAACTGCACATACAGAGCCATTAGTGACCCGCAGACGGAGAAAGCCTGTCAACATTAAACACTAAGAGCTACATAAAGCACGTATGGATGTTAGGAAAAATGCAAGAGATAGAGCAGGAGAACCCAAACCCCTTGTAGAAGTTTGCTGGACACCGCACACTCAAGACCTGCACCATTAATCTAATGAGTCCAAAGAAAGTATCTGTCTCCAAAGAGGACCAAGATGATCACAAGTTGGTCTTACATTACATGTCACAAGAGGAGGAGGTTGCAGGGACATTAATGATAAATCAGAGCGGGAAGAGAATACAAAAGCTCACTTTGTAGACCAGCCTACCTCAACTCTACTTCACATGCATGTCAGAACCACCTAGAAGCACAGTAGAAAGGAGGGAGACCATCTATGATGAATACCAGCAAAGCAAAATAAAAGTCTGCTTGATCAGAGAAGAAAACAAATGAAAAACACACCGTAGTTGAAAATCTGATCACCCCCTCCTTCCAAAACCCAACTCATCTTCTCCCAGTCTAGCAAACTCCGGGTTAATGTAAGCGGACAATACCTGAGGACCTCAGAGTAGCCCTTGGCAGCAGCCACGTGGAGGGCGGTGGCCCCTGAGCGAGCCTGCCTTAGATCCTCTATTTCCCCACTGTTGAGCCACTGCCGGGCATCCTGTAACATCTGCTCCTCTTCTTCTTTTCTTGACTGCTCTAGATCGACTCCTACAGAGACCGGATACCAGGCAGACAGCATTACTAAATATGTCCATTTAAATATCAGGATAGTTTCTTTAGTTTCCAAACACATCATAAATATAACCACAAATAACACTTCAGTCATCCAGTTGGGCAGTCATCAAATTTACTCTTCATTTAGAAGAGCAACAGCATTTATACACATAATAGTAGTATTATCAGGGTTAAAGCATCAGGTTAAATATTGTGTGATGGCAGATTCATGAAGGGAATACTGCTTTCAATTTTAAGAACAGAGAGACCACAAGGGATACTATTTCTACACTATTTATTCAAAGCTATATATTTCAAAGTCCTTTTACATGTTATATCATTTCAGTTTCTCAACAATCCTTTGAGGTAGATACAATGGATATTATTATCCCCATTTAACAGATGAGGAAATAAACAGAGAAAGATGAGGTGCCTTGCTCAAGGCCATGAAACACATTAGAGCTGTCCCTAGAGCTCTGACATCCTGGGTCCCGGTCTGTCTGTTGCTCTTTTCTACTCACTACATCAAAAGATTGGTATCAAAATTCTTGGTTTCAGGTATGATAAACTTTAAAAAATAAACTACCTCTAAAGTTCATTTCCATATGTAGGTAAATACCTGGCCCTGAAACTATATACTCTAGATCAGACGGGAAGGTGGTACGCAGTTAAAATTTCCAAGGGAATGTAGATTCTGTTTCCCTTTAAAACATTATGGAGGAACTGCAAGGGTTCCTCCCTTCAGCTAACAACTTTCCAACATCTGGGTGAGTGAAAGGGGTGGAGCTGGGCATTCTCCATTATAATAAGTAATGAAATATCCCAAACACAAACATACCCATCCAAAGAGGTTTATGTTCATTAGCAGGTTTTATCCGTGCTTGGTCTGCACCCTTCCAGCACACTTCTTAAATAAGAACCTGTGAACTACCCTAGGATTATCTGATTTGGGGAGATGGATGGAGTGAAAGCGTAACCAGTTTATTTCATTTCTTTCTTCTTTTTCTCTCCAGCTTTACTGAGATATACTTGACATATAACATTACATTAAAGGTGTACAACGTGTTAATTTGATACATTTATATATTGCAAAATGATTACATAGTTAGCAACTTTCAAGTTCATACAATATTCTTAACTATAGTCACCATGCTGTACATTAGATTCCCAGACCTTATTCGTCTCGTAACTGGAAATTTGTGCCCTTTGACTAACCATCTCCCCATCTCCCCGCCCCCCAGCCCCTGGAATCCATCATTCTAGTCTGTTTCTGTGAGTTAGGCTTTTTTGGATTCTACGTGTCAGGGATATCATACAGTGCTTGTCTTTCTCTGTCTGACTTATTTCACTTTTCACAATGTCCTCAAGGCCCATCCATTGTCATATATAGCAGTATTTCCTTCTTTCTCATGCTGAATAACATTCCATCATATGTATCACATCTTCTGTATCCATTTATCCATAGACTGACACTTAGGTTGTTTCTGTATTTTAGCTATTGTGAATAATGCAGCACCGAATATGGGAGTGCAGACATCTCTTTGAGCTCCTGATTTCATTTCTTTTGAATCCCAGAAGTGGGATTGCTAGGTCATATGTGAGGAACCTCCATATACTTTTCCATAGTGGCTGTACCAATTTATATTCCTACCAATTGTGCACAAGAGTGTCCTTTTCTCCATGGCCTCACCAACACTCATTATTTCTTGTCTTTGTGATGCTACGCAGTTTAACAGGTGTGAGGTGGTAGCTCACTGCAGTTTTGATCTGCATTTCCCTGATGATGAGTGATGTTGAGCATCTTCTCCTACACCTGTTGGTCATTTGTATGTCTTCTTTGGGAAAATATCTACTCACTTCCTCTGCCTACTTTTTAACTGGTTTATTTGGGTTTTTGCTATTGAGTTCCTTGTATATTTTGGATATTGACCCCCTCATCAGATATATGGTTTACACATATATTCTCCCATCCATAAGTTGCCTTTTCATTTTGTTGACTATTTTCCTGTGTGGAAGCTTTTTAATTTAATGTAGTCCTACTAATTTATTTTTGCTTTTGTTGTTTGTGCTTCTGGTGTCATTTCCAAAGATATTATTGTCAAGATCAATATCAATGAAGTCTTCCCCTATGTTTTCTTCTAAGAGTTTTAGTTTCAGGTCTTATGCATAAGTCTAGACTCCATTTTGAGTCAACTTTTGTTGAGTGGTAACATAGGGGTCAAATTTCATTCCTCTGCATGGTGCCCAGTTTTCCCAACACCATTTATTGAAGGAACTATACCTTCCCTACTGAGTCTTCTTCGCTCTCTTGTTCAGTATTAGTTGACTGTACATGTAAGGGTTTACTTCTGGGGTCTCAACTCGGTTCCTCTGGTCTACATGCCTACTTTTATGCCAAGTACATACTGTTTTGATTACTATAGCTTTGCCGTATAGTTTGTAATCAGGACGTATTATGCCTCCACCTTTGTTTATTCTCAGGATTGCTTCAACTATTTGTGATCTTTATGGTTCCATACAAATTTAGGATTTTTTTCCTACTTCTGTTAAAAATGCCACTGGAATTTTGATAAAGATTGCACTGAACCTATAAATGGCTTTCGGTAGCCTGGAATTTTAACAATATTTATTCTTCCAATCCATGGACACAGAATATTGTTACATGTTTTTGTGTCTTCTTCAATCTCTTTCATCAAAGTCTTAGCTTTCAGTGTACAGGTCTTCTCCCTCCTTGGTTAAATTTGTTATTAATATTTTATTGTTTTTGATGCTACTGTGAATGGGATTGTTTCATTTCTTTTTCAGATAGTTTGTTATTAAGTGTATAGAAATGCAATTGATTTCTTGATTTCTCTGTGTTGACTTTGTATCCTGCGACTTTACCAAATTCATAGATTAGTTCTATCAGTTTTTTGGTGAAGTCTTAGGATTTTCTATACATGAGAGCATATCATCTGTAAACAAAGAGCATTTTACTTCTTCCTTTCCAATTTAAAGGCCTTTTATTGTTTTCTTCCTGACTGCTATGGTTAGGACTTCCAGTACTATGTTGAACAGGAATGTTGAGAGTGGGCACCTTTTCTTGTTCCTTACCTCCAACAAAAAGCTTTCAACTTTTCACTATTGAGTATGATGCTAATTGTGGGCTTCTGATATATGGCCTTTATAATGCTGAGGTACAGTCCCTCTATATCCAATTTACTGAGAATGTTTATCATGAAAGGATGTTGTATTTTGTCAGGTACTTTTTTTGCATCTATTGAGATGATCATATGATTTTTATCTTTCATCCTATTAATCTAGTTTATCACATTTATTGATCTGTGTATGTTGAGCCATCCTTGCATGTCAGGGATAAATCCCACTTGATCACAGTGTATGATCCTTTTATTATGCTGTTGAATTCAGTTTGCTAATATTTTGTTGAGAATTTTTGCATCTATATTCACTAGGGATATTGGTTTGTAGTTTTTTTTCTTCTTTTAGTGTCCTTATCTGGCCTTGGTATCAGGGTAATGTTGGTCTTGTAAAATGAATTTGGGAGTGACCCCCCTCTTCAATTTTTTGAAAAAATTTGAGGTTTAGTGTTAATTCATCTTTAATGTTTGATGGAACTCACCAGGGAAAGCATCTAGTTCTGGGTTTTTCTTGTTTGATTACTGATTCAATCTCCTTACTTGTTTTGGTCTGTTCACACTTTCTCTTTCTTCCTGATTCAGTCTTGTTAGGTTATGTATCTCTAGGGATTTATCCATCTCTTCTTGGATATCCAATTTGTTAGCATATAATTATTGCTAAGTCTGTGATGATCCTTTGTATTTCTGTGGTATTCGCTATGATATCTTCTTCTTTTCTGATTTTGAGTCTTCCCTTTTTTTCTTAGTCTACCTAAAGGTTTGTCAATTTTGTTTATCTTTTCAAAAAACAGCCCTTAGTTTCATTGATTTTTTCCATTCTCTTGGTGGGAAGGGGCGTCTCTATTTAGTTTATTTCTGCTCTGATCTTTCTTACTTCTGCTTACTTTGGGCTTAATTTGTTCTTTTTCTAGTTCCTTGAGGTGTAAAGTTAGGCTATTTATTTGAGATCTTTCTTTTTTCCTAATGTAGGTGTGTATTACTATAAACTTCTTAGAACTGCTTTTGTCACACCCCATAAATTCTGGTATGCTGTGTTCCATTTTCATGTGTCTCAAGATTTTTATTTTATTTTGATTTTGGTTTCTTCTTTGACCCATTGGTTGTTCAGTAGCATGATGTGAATCTCCACAGATTTGTGAATTTTCCAGTTTTTCTATTATTGAAGGAATGTTCTATATATGTCTGTTAGGTCCATTTGGTCTAAAGTATAGCTCAAGTACAACGTTTCTTTGCTGATTTTTTGTCTGGATGATCCATCCATTGCTGAAGGTCGGGTATTTAAGACCCCTACTACTATTGTATTATTGTTTATTTTTACCTTCAGATCTGTCAGTATTTGCTTAATATATTTAGGTGCTCCAATGTTGGGTGCCTATGTTGTTTTGACTGTTTTATCTTCTTAATGAATTTAAAAGGGCAACAGACAAGAATTCCATGAAGAATTAGCAGTGATGCAAAGTTAAGTGTATATATATCAATACATCTCTGCATAAAGTATACTCCTTAATTGAAGAGTCAGAAATCAAAATAGAAAAATTGGTTTCTCAAATATAAAATATTTTTAAATATCCAATTTGTTAAAAAAAAAGTTTTCTGTAAATTATAAATACCAATCTTAGGAGATAAGGCAGAGTGGGACTGGATGGCGACCTAAGCATAATGTTCTTTAATGTAATAAGGCACAAAACTATATGTAGGAAGGTGGTAAAAACAAGCATTTACTGCCCTAGAGCATCACTATTTTAAAGTAGGCATCAGCATACTTTATATAAAGGGCCAGATATTAATTAGCTTCAACTTTGTGGGCCATTTGATCTATAACAACTACTCAATTTTGCTGGTGTAGTGCAGACACAGCTTTGGATAATATGTAGACAAACTGACATGGCAAGAATTTCCTGTTCTAAAGGATCATATCAAGAAAGGCTACTGAAGCAAAAATCTTTCAAATGAGTTGCAGATTGTGGGTAAGGTAGTTAAACAGACTAAATATCACTACAAACTATGTCCAAAAATATTGTGGTGGTTCTAGTTTTGTGAAACTTCCTAAGACCTGTCCTCCCACTATCTTAACTAGTGTTATTCACAACATTTTTTTTTCTTTTTTAATTTTTATTATTATTTTTTATTTTGGTAACATTAATATACAATTACATGAGCAATATTGTGGTTACTAGATTCCCCCCATTATCAAGTCCCCATCACATACCCCATTACAGTCACTGTCCATCAGCATAGTAAGATGCTGTAGAGTCACTATTTGTCTTCTCTGTATTATACTGCCTTCCCTGTGTCCCCCACCCCCACTATATTATGTGTGCTAATCGTAATGCCCCTTTTTCCCTTTATCTCTTCCTTCCCACCCATCTTCCCCAGTCCCTTTCCCTTTGGTAACTGTTAGTCCATTCTTGGGTTCTGTGAATCTGCTGCTGTTTTGTTCCTTCAGTTTTTTCTTTATTCTATATTTCACCGATGAGTGAAATCATTTGATACTTGTTTTTCTCCACCTGCCTTATTTCACTGAGCATAATACCCTCTAGCTCCATCCATGTTGTTGCAAATGGTAGAATTTGGTTTATTCTTATGGCTTAATAATATTTCATTGTGTATTTGTACCACATCTTCTTTATCCCTTCATGTACTGATGGACGCTTACGTTGCTTCCATTTCTTGGCTATTGTAAATAGTGCTGCAATAAATGTAGGGGTGCATATGTCTTTTTGAATCTGTGATATTGTTTTCTTAGGGTAAATTCCTAGGAGCGG